TACACATAAAATAATTACGAGTTGTCCTTTATTTTAACAATCCATCCACACTACAACAGGAAATTCACAATCGAAAATCTGATACTTATTTCTAGTGGTGGAGCACGTATTATACCATCTCCTCCTTACCATTATTCAAGCCTCCATGACGTAAACACAGTACTACCCTTAAGCGAGCCTCTTCTGGTTCATCAGGGAAAACAAGGAGGAAATACCGCATACTTCTGTGAGTACCCAGGTCCCCACTCCTTGCTCTTCAAGAAAATATCATGGGAAGTACTACACATCCTCCCTATGAAAGCCCCTCCGCTTCCTTATTTCTCAGGGGAAAACCCATAGACTTCTCCTACGTAAAGCCCTCCGTGTCCTTATTTCTCAGGGGAAAACCCATAGACTTCTCTTACGTAAAGCCCTCCGCGTCCTTATTTCTCAGGGGGGAAACCCATAGACTTCTCCTAGGTAAAGCCCTCCCCGTCCTATCCCCACAAACACTGTATACTTTGCTCTCAAAGCCTTACTAGTGGAGGGGGAGAACTAACAAAACAAAGCACAATAGTTACCCACCTCACATCTGTGTCCCATCTTTGAAGCTGCGATATCCAATTGATGATAATAATCTCTGAATTCATTCATGTCCACCTGCAAAGCTGTATAATCCGCTCTAGCGTTCTGTAAGTCATTCCTGAGTGATTCGTTCTCAATCTCAAGCTGAGCATTTCTCGATGACATTCCTTCGCTTTGAGCCGTCACCTTGGCGCTCTGACAAAAAGATAACAGATTAACATCCTTTTTTGGGGGGGGGAGGGGAAAGGGAGGAGGAGGAATCATAATATAGCTACTGGAAATGATTGCTCTTGGTTAAACAGCTACGACGAAACATTAAGGACATAAACCACTGGCTATTTGTTAAGTTAATTCTGTTTTCAAGATCCATTGAAGACTCGGGCCCTTTCGAGTGCAAACACACGCCAACATCACATGAGCCCACAGAAGTAAAACGACACAAAGAACACTCAGGGCGTCCACAAATCAGCCAGATTGACGGTGTTCCTTTTACAAGATAACAAGATAATAGTCCTTCTTTGTGACTTTGAAAAAATGAGTGCTTCCAAGGTTCGCGCGATCTACCTGTTTTTCTAGCATTCTTATTTCCTCGTTGAGTTCTGCTATCCTTTTGTCTGCGATTGCTAATAACTCTACAGTGTTCTGCCCGGACCTTAAAATGCAAATAAAAAGCCTTTAGTAATGAGACATGACAATCTGATCAGAGTAAGATTAGTCCTGTCAATAACAAACGATATACAATATAATTTGGACAAAAGCAAAAGTAGATCGGAACATGAAAAAACCTCTTGGGATCTAACTCAAATGACAAAATAACGCTTCTCTGGATTCTATGGTTAATAACGCAACACCTACCTTGTAGAGTCCGCCGGTTTAAAAATGATGGTCTGTGAGGATCCACCCTTTCCTTTTTGAGCTTTATCCTTTTCAGCTTTTTTGTCATACGATTCGACAATCTGCAGAATTCCAATCAAAGGGAAACTTTACATATCCCTTTTCCTCTTTTTTGAGAAGGATACACATAGTTAGATTACATTCCAAACAAAGGCAAACTTAGTAGTTGATATCAACATATATGTTCATGACATTACATTGATAAATTCATAGTCACATAACGCTGTAATGATGATTAATTCTTACCTCTGTTAGTCGAACCTGCTCTTTGGAAGAGGCTCCCAGTCTGAAGGGCAAAATTACAAGAAAAATAAAGGCGTTTGAAAATTCATTTTCTTTCCATACGAAACACCTTGTGTTGGGAACTGTACGTTACATTTATTAATCTTAAATATAAGTGATTTCGTTTATCTATTACATAACCAAACCGCATGTATGCAGCACGTGTCTTATCACCCCATATATGGTGCTGTTCCACGTGCTTACAATGAGACGTGGTGTGTGTTTTCGTGAGAGTTGTGAGTGGGAGTTAACTGGAGTGTAATAGCAAAATCGAATCAAGAAAATAAATCGTGAGGACAGCTTTTGCACGTTTTCGACACTTGGAAGTTCTCTGGAGCTTGTTTCAAAATGAACGCGCATAAAGACCACATTTCAATTGGAGGCGTTGAGGCTTTTTCGGTGTGAGGTATCAGTAAGATACAGAAAGAAAAAGTAGGATTGAGACACCAGGAAGGAGGCGTCTTGCGAAAGAACACTACGAAATGACCTCAGCTTGGGGGCTCCAAACCGCAACAACTAATAACTAGCCAACTCATTTTTAAGAACCACTCGAACAGAATTTCAAACTATTCCAACTTGTTGACGAACGCTTCTATAAGTTTCTTTTAAGAAGCTCCCTTCTAGGATCTCCAGTGGACAATGCTTTTGTTTTCCAGCTAGCTCACCTTTTCTCCAGTGATTGTATTTTGTCATCCTTAAGCTCAGCAGCATGAGTCAACTTGTTGTTCTGATGGACAGCCTCTTCAAGCCTCGTTTTCAGTCCTTTAACCTGCTCCTCTCGTTGCTCGATCAGCCTGGAGAACTTATTTGCCTGAGCAGTGACTTCCTCTAATCTGTGGAATAGAAACGATGGTGGGAATCGCGGTGAAACACGAACGAGCCAAGAAAGTGTTTTGGGAAATAAAGTCTCGTTTACATGACACCTTGTCCAGGTTAAAGAAGTACTGAAGGAAGATGTTTTATCGTCTTGTCACGAGCGCGGAACAAACACAACTCTCTGAGTCCTTGTGAGGAAACGGAACACCCTTGGATTCCCGCTCCGACGCCCTACCACTGAGCCACACATATTCATATTTTTTCTGATGTTTTTATCTACGTTTTGGAAACAGGAATCTTATTCTACAACAACTCCTGCAGGATTTCCAATGTTTCTCTTTGGAAAAATAGAAGATCAATGCAGTTTTTTTTCCTCATTTTTTTTTTTTCATTCATTTCTAAAATCCCGAATGGGAAATCAGATGGCCTAGGTCACCCCATTTTAAAAACTGGTTAAATCACGAGCTTTTAGCTTCCTTTCCAAATTCAGTCCTAAATTTCCAACCGTTTGGTTCATGTACAAGTTGTTTATTTGAAAATGAACTAACTTAGCTTCCAAGGCCATGTTCTCGCTTTCCTGTTGCTGTACGTTCTGCGTTAAGAGGCCAATCTTGCTGTCCTTCTGCTTCAGAGCCATACTGAGTGAGTGACTGTTATCATCCCTACTGACCTCCATTTCCGCTATCCTGTGGTAAAACAAATTCAGCGGGGTTAACGGTAAACGTGTGCATGTGAGCTAACTCGTATATCTGCCGCAGCTGATTACTGTTACTAAAGTATGAACTGTCTAAGAGTATTGTTACTATCCCTGGATGGAACACTAATCCATTGAGGTTAAGGCACCATCACAAGTGGAAAGCTCTCGAGTAAAAATTAAATCTTGTGTTAGAAATCTGGGGTAATTTCGCTCTACCAACAAAAACTCGTGATATCCTCTACCAATCAGAGTCAAAACTAGACCCAAACTTGCCACTCGTTTGTTTTTCCTTGGAGTTCTCATTAGCTCCACCTAGAGCTTACAGAAGTTTTTGTTTCTTCTGAACACCCCTGTGGTAGCCTTGGTTTTGGCTTTCCGATACTAAACCGAAATGTGTTCAAAGCATGGTCCCCTAAACAATACCCCATTCCAGCAAAACTGGTGTGATTTCTCCAAATGCTAGAACAGTTTCTTCACGACCGTCCCTGCAGGAATCGTGAAAGCATGGACTGTGGATACAGTACCTACCCCGCCATCATTTCAGATAAGACTTACGGTTGTTATGAACTGAAAAAAAGTTGCCTATTACCGTTTCTCTAAACTTTCAATTTTCGTTTCCTTCTGTTTGAGACTGTGGCTTAACCTTCGGTTCTGGCTTTCGCTCTCCTCCAGCCTGAATAAGGTAAATTTTGAGTAGCAGATGAACAGATCAACTCCGTTAACGATGAGCTACAAAAGCCTATTCGGCTTATTGTCAATGTAACTGGTAGCCCAATAGTCAAGCTAGGCCGCCAAGTAAGTGTTAATAAGCTTTTTGAAAAGCCGGGCCTCAAGAAAAACTGGAATAGAAATGTCAAACCTCCTGAGCAAATTAATCACTTACAAAATTGCACTTGCTTACACTGACAAAAACAATACAAAAACAAAACAGAAAAATATCAAATTTATCAGTTACAAAATCGTACATGCTCACACTGACAAAAAACAACAGCAAAAACAACAACAACAAAAACAGTGAAATATCAATCTTGACAGAATCACATCAACTCAAGCAAATAACAGCGAGTACTCGGTTGAATTTTTCTTTTTCATAATTGCAGAATTCAAATTAGACGACACAACATACTTCGTTTCGAGGCTCATAACATCGTTCTCCAAATCTTTCCTGACTTTTTCCACCTTGTCTAGTTGACCGAATGTGCTTGACAGTTCTTTCACCCTGACAGGCAGAGAACGAAAACAGAGGAAAACGTTACGTGTGTGTGTGTGTGTTTTTTTTTAAGTGAAGGTGAGATTACAAAACTAATCTTTCAAGTGATAAGAATTTCTTTCGCCAGCGCAAAGCACCTTTCTTCCATTTCAGCAATCTTGGTATCCTTTTCTTTCAGTGCTACACTAAGCTTGCTGTCCGCTGTCGCAGCATATCTCAAGTTCTCCAACCTGAAAACAGGAAGAACCGGTAGAGTTAGGAAGCTTCAGTGAATGTAAAATTTTTATAAACGTGTCTTCACCCCTTATAAGTTGATTCAAATTGATAAGAATTACCGTTTTTGTAACTCTGAAAGTTTGTCATCTTTACTTTCCACATCAGTCTCTAATTCTTTAACTCTGAAGAAACAAAAGTTAAAAAAATTTGATATATCAGTGACACACTCTGCTGCACCTCAGGTGCCACTTTCTTGTTCTCACTAAATTTAGACGTCATCTATTACAAAACAGACCCAAGGGGCACAAAGGAATCTACTTGTTTAGTAGAGTGGTTTCTTGGCTTTTCCTTCACTTTCCTTCTCTTTTTCTCCGTTCGAAGAATGGATTGACGTGCTTCAACGATATGAATATGTATAGACCACTTTCATAAATGGCTGCCGGATTAATATTCTTTTGTTTAAATTTAAATTAGCCCTACTGGCCTCGTTCTCCAGTGCAAAATTCATAAGAATACATTATCTCAAGCGAGGCCAGAAGGGCTAATTCAAATTTAAACAAAAGAATATTTATACGGCAGCCATTAATGAAAGTGGTCTACGCCAACTTGGTTACTCTCTCAAGGTAGACAAGAAGTCAATTTTAACCTGTTTTTGTACTCTAATACTTTTCCAGCCTTTGATTCGAGCAATTTCTCCAACTCCTCTTCTCTGAAATACAAAGTTAATCTCGTAATGCATCATGTATATTAACGTATGACACATAGAATAGATTTTCAGCATTACTGTATAACAAAAAAAAAACAGCATTTGACCAGCTACTCTGATGACTCCAAAGACCTTTCGACCCCATGTTAACTGGCGACATGCAGTATGACCGTGTTCGTGCGCATGTCGACAGAGTTTCGTGAGTATCGTGATATCAAAATCAAAGTTTAGCACAACAGCCAATCAGAATAACGGAAACATAATATGGAGCCAAAGGAAACACAAAGTCAAAAAAAGGGAAACTGCCCTAAGGGCGACAAAACGCGAAGCACCAATCACGAGTGGTTTTAGTTTTCACCTGATTGGTGGAGATGGAGGCGGACGCTTACTATAACAATCACCAAGCGTACGAAAGCAGAGCCAATGCAGTCTAATGTAATCACTTAAAACATTCAACTAGTATAAAAAAAAATAACATGATTTTGAGTGCAACTTGGTGTTACTGAGCACGGGAAAATTTTCCAAAGACAACAAAATTGCACGAGCTCATGGGACAAGTGCAATTTGTGGTCTTTGAAAAATTTACGGGTGCTTCTTTCCACCAAAATTGCACGAGAAATTATGTCGTTACTTGATAATAATTTACCGGAAAAAAACATTACAGAAAGTCGAGATAGACGAAATTTCGATAGCGCGCGCACTATTTGTAATTTACACTCGTGTTACATGAATTATCATATAAGGGGCAAAATTACTGAATTGTGATTGGTCAAGACAGAGGGCATTTTTTTCTTAATTTTTGTAATTGCCCCGGGCAAAATTACTTGAAAATGNCCAATTATCCGTTGTCGTTACAAGTACATGAATAGTTCTGAAAATTTGGTGTGAATTCCAGCCAAATCCCGTGATTGTTATTGTTTTCCTTCTCGTTAACTTTCTGCTTGAAAGGTTTTCTTATTTACCGATCGTTTTAAGAGTGGAAAGTTTAAATTTCTCAAGTTTGTCATCTACAGTTTGTGTCTATGTTTTCAATGCCATGCCCCCCTTGCCTTTTCATTTTCTCTCTCCCCCTTTAGTGTCAATTAACCCCGGACAATTATTATTTCTAATAATCCTTTGATTTTGTGCAACATTTGACGGCGCTAAGGGGTTGAAAGTACCTCAACGTGGTCCATTTATCAACAATACGTCTGATGGAGAACAAAGCAAACAGCTTCCCTAGTTTAGAAGACTCGCCATGAAATAATTTTCTCAAAAAAGTAACCTTTTATGAAGAGTCTCAATTTTTTCGTCTTTAGCCTGTATCTCCTTTTCCTGTCTGGCAAGCTCGCTTTCATCATTTTCAATTCTGAGGACAAAAGAAAGAAAATGACGAGATTGACGCTAACAAATTGCTTCCGGTCACGTCTGAAGCCTTTACTAGTTCTTATATCGTTATGCTCATGTTTGTAAACACTTTTTTATCGGTATAGATCCGTTTTTGGCGTTCGCGCTGCCTCGAGTGTGTACCAGGTAAGAAACATAGGGAAGTTGAGTGAAAAAAGGCAGAAATGCAAGCATATTTTATTCAACATACACCGATAGTTGCGGAAGCCACACGTGTTAAGTCTTGCCGTTCTACTTTTTCTCCCGGTGACGAAACGAAATGACATAAAGCACCAAAAAAGCAAGACAGACAAAGATTGAAATTTTATGAACAAGTTAGTTTGTGAGGTCAGCTGATCTTCTAATTAGAGTACTCAATGGTTCCAAGTCATAAAACTAGTCATTTCATTAAGGCTATTAACTTACTTTGTCTCCAAGTTTTCTATCCGGGCATCTTTCGTCTTCATAATTTGGTTCAGCTTTCTGATCTCGCGAGTAGTCTCCTGTGCCTCGATAAGCCTATGATCAAAAAATTAAAAAAAACTTTTTTCAACAACCTCTCATAGCTAACAAGTCTATGAACATAATCGTAGACATATGGTAGCTATTTTCAGTTGTCGTTTCGATACGCTTTTCAAATTCAACTCATGCGCAAAGACTTGCTACACTAACTTTCAAGTGTGTTGGGATGTAAGTAAAAGTAAAACCTAAGTAATCAGAATGCCGTCTCTAAAAAATTACATGAGGAGCCAAAGAGAAATCGACGTGAAAGTAAGCAGGCGATCCGATGTGCTAGTGTCGCGAAAATGGTTCTGGTCACAGGCAAAGCAAACCCAATTTAACTCTGCATTTCGTACGCGCTCGATACCCAAAAACATTTTCTAACATTTGCCAACATACTTTGCCTGTAACTCGGCTATGACCATCTCCTTTTCACCAACTGTCATGTCCAGCTTTCTGTACCTGTTCACAGTGCCTTCCAGTCTGCAAAAAGACAAGAACGAAAAAGGAGAACGTAACATCAATTGACATCTGCTTAGTTTAAAAGTAAAAAATCGTTATCAAAACAACACCTTATGAAGGATTGTGTCCAAGGAAGATACCAGTTTAATGTTTAATCAAAAACTTTGAGACACATTTTTCCAACCGAAAATTTGAACGGTGATATATAAACTCAGAATCATATTTACTGCAAACATGAGCGGTAAGAATTTCCCCTCCACTTTCACTTTCCCGTTATGCTCAAAATGGAAAAATCCACTCAAGACTTTTCCAAGATGAAATACCATAGAGATAAAAAAATACCCTCCACAAAAAACAAAAACAAAAACGTACTTCGACTGCAGATCATGGATTTTGCCCTCTCTTTCTTCAACGTACTCTTCAAGCCTGTTTGTGAACGAAAAACAAAGTATTATATCTTTGGACCAAATTGACAGCATGCTCCATAACTTGTTCCTTTGCTGCGTCCCAGCCATATCTTCTCCTTGGAAGGTTACACTTTACCTTACTTTCCTTATACAGTGATGGGACGTGACTGTGTGTAACATAATAGCTTTTCTCATTAGGTACATTTTCCGCTGTCGGCCCGTCGCTATTTCAACCTAAAAGTTCTTTGTTTTACACACCAAGATAACACATAGGAAATTTATAGCACTGAATAACAAAGACACATATGCTCCGTTTTTTTTCCTCCGTGCGCGCATTTGTGCGTCTGACCACTCTGCGTCTGAACGTCTAGAATGTGTCTGCGTTGTGAATGTACACAAGAGCGGTACTGTAGGATACGTCATCAGGATGAACAGTTTCACAGGTAATGCTACTTTGGGGATTTCAGTGGAAAAGATACAAAAGATAGACTTCTTTTTATAGGCCTTACGGTGAGGTGAACAAATAAGAACAGGCAACAGAGAACAAATAACAAACATCCCACTCCCCCCACCTCCGAGTTGTTCATCCAAGTTCGGTCAACGTACATGTTAGCTAATTAAATTAATAGGAGGAGAGGGGAATTCTATTCGCAAGATCGAGGACATAACACAAACGATCTTATAATACAAAAATGTCTCCGTTAATTTTGTTACCAATTGCAGACAAGATAACCAATATAAATACAACATCATGGTACACAAAAGTTATTGTGATTATTTGTATTATCAGTTACTGATCGGTACTGTTTAGGTTAGAGTAATTAGTACAATGCGACTTTACCAAATCAGTCAAATTAGAGTTATTATGATAATCGTCATTTCAATTAGCAGATTAACAATGTAAGAAATTACTGAAGTTTAACTGACAACCATTGCACACGACGCATCAAATTCTAAAAGATAGCACATTGTTATGTTCGTTACCGTTAAAACTGAAGGCAAAAGCGAATGTTTCAAGGCACGCCAAGGACTCAGAGAGCGAATTAAGATAAACTTTCAAATTAAACCAAAATGAATTGGTGATCAGTGGCAGACAAACGCTGTTTTCGGCCGCACCGTTTCAACTTACTTCGTTCTTCTCCTTTCCAAGTCTACTATTTTATCTTCTCTTCTTTTCACACTGTTTTGACGAGCCACTTTTTTGCAGGTTTGCTCCTCCAAGCTGCAAACAAACTTAGTCAGTCCATAAACACGACTCCTACCTTCAAATCGGCGAGGAGCGTAGGTATTGGACAAGAAACACAGTTTACCAAACGTTACGCATCGCGCTTCAATGGTTACTTCCTAGCAAATGACTTTATGCGCTTAAGCGACTTATCCCAAAAACTTTGCCAATGAGTCGCGTTTCTTAGGGACTAATACAGGCGTCCATCCAGCGTTCTAATTGGCTACACGCCTCAGAAATAAATTCCCCCAATACCACGCAAAAAATTATTCCCCATTATAGGGTTACCTTAAATTATTCCAATTCTACACTAACTTCAATTAAAGGAAGCAGTTCAAAAGCCAGGCTTTTTAAACTCAATTAGATTACATCTTGAAAGACTTTGTATTAAGCGAGTTTGACTTTTATAAAGGTTACGATTAAGTAAAGAGATCAAGGATGTTAAAGTCAATGCTTAACGGCTTGCAAAATTGTAGGCAGCATCTATTAGGGATCGGTCATTTTATCATGCGGCGGGGACTGGGGTTGGGTTGGAAGTTTTAGAGGTTTTGGTTACCAGATCCTCCCCTAAGGCTCCACAAAATTCTTATGATTTCTCCCTTTCCCCCTCTTCATTGGCAGTTAACTGGCAGTCAATTTTCTCTAGTCCCTCCCTCCCTCCCTCCCTTTAACTCTGTTGGTGACGACTGATACCCCTCTCCGTTCCCCCTAAAAACCATGTAATTCCCCGCACCCACCCCTAGGCTATAACTAATGACCGTGCCCTTATTAACAGCAGATAACAAGCTCGAGATATTCATAGTAAAGATGTACCTTTTGAAAAGTAATAAGACTTGATGTAAAAATTTGTTTAACTAAGATCAGGTATGCAACCTTTTACTTTATGTAAGAAAGAATGGTTTAGCAATACATTCATTTAGCACGCTGATTAATTTAATCTGTTATTAGAGCATTTGCAGGCACTTGGCTTTACACATAAATTTAACAGCTTACTGCTCCTGTTGGTTCTGTCTGCACGGTAAACGTTTTCCTCACAAAGGTGCAAAAACTCAGTATGTCTCCTCACTTATGTACAAAATTACTCAGCCGTGAAACCGTCACAACTTGCTTCTATTCACTAAATCTTCTATCTCCGAAATTTTTAACCGGAACGCCAGTTAAAATAAAAGTACTAACTTCTTCTCCAAAGCCTTTATTCGCTCCTCGGCTTTCATTTTCATCTCTCGGTATTCTTTATCTTTGTTATCAAGCTGTTCCTCCATTTCGCCAAGCCTGCAAAAAACAAACCAAGGTTAATTCATTTTTTCTTCGGTTCCTTTCTTTTCATAGTTCTTTTTTCTCGCCGCTCTTTCAGTTATTGTATAGCTGCACTACCTTTTCTTCTGATTGAAAGAAACTCTACTCCTACATTTTCCAAGCGTGTAACTCGTTGATGAAACGCATTTAATTTTACCTGGTTTCGAAGCTGGAGATTTTCTCATCTTTGTTCATCACAGTTTGACTTAATTTATTGTTGATGTTTACGGCATCTTCCACTTCATCCAGCCTGTGAACCGCAATCAGTTTGAATTTACAATATTTTACAGTCTCAAAGCACATATGATTCCAAACCACAGTTCGTTTCTTAAAATGTCATTTTTCTCTAAAATGAACAAAGAAAATTATGCCAAAAAGGCTTTTACTGAATGGAATAGAGAAACCCGGATTAAATCTCAATCCTGGGTTAGCGCTAATCAGCATTCGAACTGGGCCCAGTTTTATAGTTGAGTTCCTGCACGTACGTCGAGGGAGTGAAGACAATACTTAAACGATAACCATAAATCCGTCCGCTTAGATTTGAGGCTGAGTTACGTCACATATATGTCGACCGCTGACCGATGTGAACAAGCTTCTCCGTTGCTGAAAAAGAAAAAGCAGCGCGCAATTGACTATCCAGCTTAAAATCAATTCTCTCACCTCTCTTGAAGTCGAACAATCTTTTCGTCTTTTTGCTTGAGGTAATCTGACAACTTGACGTTGCGAGAAGTCAATTCTTCAAATTCTACCAACCTGAAGAAAAAAAAAACGTATCGCAGTAAGTATTTGGCTGTATCGGAGTAGTGTTAGCATTTTTTATTGATTTTTCTAATCAACGCTCTCCAACGGCAAAAAGAAAACATGATGGATCAATTTCTGTATCATTTTCGAGTATATGGCAAGAGAGATCACGAACGAT